CAGAGAGCTTCGCTTGGGCCGTTTTCTGTAAAGCCTTCGACCACCAAGCAAATGCACCATAAATGATCATTGGTCTGACAATCATCACATAAATCCAGTCGATTTGTTCGCGACCTAAACCCCAAGTTTTACCACAAATCCTTCGACATGTTCACAGAGACAGTATGGCTTTGTGTAAAACTTTTTCCAAGTGAGCGTTCCAGGTGAGTCTTTTATCAAGGACAATGCCAAGATATTTCACCTCCGTTCCAAATGGCATTCCTAGCATATTGTTCACATACATTTATTTTCATTGTCAGAATGCTTTATTCTGTTCAAATATTCATCTTTTTCGTTCAATAATTTCACTATGGTTGAAATAAATAGTAATTACAGATTTGTGGGAGAAATTTTAATTGTATAATGTCATGTAATTTGTTCATGAGTGGTAAGTTGAAGTTGATCAACAATGGAATGTCAATCAACTTCAATCAATCTGAGTTATAAACTTCATCACAAGTTACTGCATTGTGTTTTTCACTAAATTCGAGCGTCTCATTATTAGATAAACTAACACACCGACTTCAAAAAATCTTCCATCTCGTCATCAAACCAAAACTGAAATTCCTCGGAACTTTAAAGCTATCCATTTCCATTCGGAATTGCGGATATTAACGGATTTTTCAGATGTTCCGAAGTTTGTAGCTCCCGCTGCGATAATTTATGGCTTACCCACCTTCAAATCGTCCGAAACTTTACTCGTTATTTATATTTAGTGTACGAGGTATTTATCTGTCGAAAGAGATTTATCGAAAAATGTAATTGGGTTCTGCAACTGGATTTACAGGGATCAGGAGCAAACGAGTGAACGAAGGTAGTGAATACGGATGTGAAATTTTGAAATATATTCGCTTCTCACATGGAAGTTCTCTTGAAAAGGAATTTTTACAAGTTGGAAATCAAACTCTTCCAGATATTTCCGTTACTTGTCGACTGTAAGTATTGTTAGAAATGAAGTATATCTAGTACCTAATACCTACCTAGGAGCAAGATGTAGTTCGTATTTGCTTTTATTTATTAACAGATTGTATTTCTTATGAAGAGAGTCTCAATATGGAACCTTGACTTAAACCAACCCTAAACTAATCCTAACACTGAATAAATTATAAGTGCAAAAAATTTTCGAAAACAGAACTCCATCATTATGGTTTGTTTGAAGGTGGTTGACAATGTTTCGTCGTGTATTTCATCATTTCGGACTTCCATTGTCTAATATAATATAAATTGATTTGAAATCTCTGAAAGAATCTGTGAAAAAAATTAAAAGGATTAGCTGAAAGAACAATTTTATTAGGCAAAAAAATGAAATTACAATGAAATAACATACAAGCAACAACCAAAGAAGAACCAAAAAAATTGAACTATTAACATGAGCTGAAACTCTGGCAATTGAATAACCCCACAAGAAACCCCGAGTCTGGTTGAGATACGTGAACGACACCTTCATATTCTTCACATATTCTTCACATTCTTAGAAGTATTGGTGAAGAGGACCGACACTAAATGGGAAACGGAAACCCACTCACATGGGACAGTATCTGAACCAGGAATCCAACCATCGTCAATCGACTAAGAGAGGAATCATCAAGACTCTACTAGATCGTGCTTTCGGGCTCTGCCCGAAGGTCTCGAAAAGGAACTAGACATCATCAAAAATGATCTTCAACGGAATGGCTACTCCAAAGCGATGGTAGAAAAGACTTTGGCTAGAAGACAGCAGGAGCCTCGCAAGGAAGAGAAGCCGTCACAACCAGTGCTTGCACTTCCCTACATCAGAGGATTATCGGAGAGGATAAGAAGAATTGGTTCCAAGTACAACATTAGAACCTGTTTTAGATCCGGTAACACTATTCGTAGCAGCCTCACGAAAACCAGGCCCCCAAACGCGGACTGCGATTCCAAGAATTGCATTTACCGGATACCCTGCGAGTGCGGAGAATCATACATCGGTGAAACTAAGAGGCCATTGGAAGTTCGCATTGCCGAGCACAAGAAACACCCACAACGAAGAGGAATCAGCAAATCAGTACTAGTAGAGCATGTTTGGACTCATCAACATAACATCAAATGGGCTCAAGCTGAAATCATCCACAAGAAGGAGCACTGGTTTAGGAGAAAATTCAAAGAAGCCGCATGTATGTTGTTCAACAACGCATTAAGCCAAGGTAGCGTGGAGATACGCAACATATGGAAACGTCTAATCAAGCGGAACACGACCAACTCCCGCCAAACGGTCAGCTCCCGCTAAAAACCAATGAAGTGGAGAGGGGAAAGAGGAAATAGGTGAAAGCAGTCCAATAACCTATAAATAGTCAGGTCTCGAAGGAATAAGTCCACCCCGCCGACAAGGCGTTAGCCTTTGCAGACACGATGGAACGTCAGTTTCAACTTAACGTTGACGACGATGACGACATCGATCGCGATATGCTGCTGGAAGACCGGGTTCACCGACTCCTCAGGTAACATGACGACGACGATACCCGTCCGGTTTCTATGGAAGAACTTAAGGGTTATATCAAGGCCGCAAAGGCCAAGAAAGCCTCGGGGGTCGATTCAATAACCAACAAGTTATTGAAGAGGCTCCCGGAAAACTGCGTTGAATTCCTTCTCAACTTGATCAACAGTTCGTTGGCCCTCAGACACTTCCCTAGAAGGTGGAAGCATGCGATCGTCGTCATGATCCCAAAACAGGGTCAGAACCAGTTGTTCCCGCAGAACTATCGCCCGATCAGTCTACTCTCGTCGGCGGCTAAGCTGACAGAAAAAGTTGTTCTGCAAAGACTCAACGAAGAAGTTGAGGACCAAAATGTTCTGCCTAACGAACAATTCGGCTTCAGGAGAGATCACTCCACTGAATTATAGGTTCTAAGGTTGGTCGAAAACACCATCAGCGAGCTTAACGTAAATAAAAAAGTGCATATTGTGCTACTAGATATCTGTACCCTCTGGTCAATAGGAAATCCAAACTGAGCACAAATAACAAAATCACCATCTATAACACGATGTTCAAGCCTGTCACCATGTATGCTTCAGGCGTCTGGGGACAAGCGGCTCCGTCCAACATTTCCATCTTGGAGAGATTACAAAACAAGTAAATTAGGATGATTGTGAATGCTACTTGGTTCGTGCGGAACGAAGCCATCCGCAGAGATTTGCAGTTGCCTTCCATTCGACAGTCCATTCAGTCGAGGAATCAGCGAGTTTTTGAAAGTACGGAAACTCACGAAAACCCGATAGTTAGGGAAGCCACAGATTATGCTGTAGACGACCCCTTCCGATATAGAAGGCCCCGACACTCTGTTGAATGAGGCCCTCATGTCCCCCGTTAACGGATGAATAACTTTCCCATCCATCCCACCCAAGCCAGGTAGGGGTATCCCTTGAAGGGGGGTACTGTTGTTTAAGGACTTCATGGCGCCATACCATCAGTCATGAACCCATTGGTCCTTCTCGAGACCAATAATCAGCCAAAAGGGTAGGGGAGCTGGACTTGAAGCCTGAATAAAACGAAGATGACCTTCCGCCTTCCGAATAAGTTCAGTTATCACCAAAAGACGATTGTGGCTACTAACAATCGAACCATCGTGAAGTAACTTGGTTTAGAATCTTTTGATTTTATATTTTTAATTTTCATTTCTTGATAATAATTTTTTAATTTTTTCAGCTCGTGTTAATAGTTCAATTCATTTTTTGGTTGTTGCTTGTATGTTATTTCATTGTTTTTTCAGTTTTTCGCTCAATAGAATTGTTCTTCCAACTGATCTTTCTAATTTTTTCGTAGATTATTTCAGGGATTTCAAATCAATTTATATTATAGTAGACAATGGAAGTCCGAACTGATGAAATGCTCCATTATTATGCTCTAAAACAGAGAATACGTTTTAAATTGACTCAAACTCATCAGTTCATCACACAATGAAAAATGTACATGGTATATAGAAGTTTGTCAGGAGATTTACCTTTTTAACAAAAATTAATATTGGAAAAATTAAAAAAAAGCTCTTATTCACACCCTGAGAAGATGAAAATTAGATTAAAATTACATTGAATCCACTCATTTTGTAATTACTTTACAAAATTCAATTGTAACTAATGAGAATTAAATTTGATTAAATAATAAGATTCAGCCTCAGTGCTGCACGACGCGACGTAAATTCGAGTCGTCTTTTTTTTTTAATTTTCACTATCAACTTATAATCCTGTTGATACGCCTCTGGAAGGGTGTTATCTACATACTTGTCTTGCCAGATGTGCTAATTGCAGGCACTTCATGGTTTAGTCCCAATACACTGAATCAATTTCAGATATTATTCAAATTTCACCAACTCAGGACTTGACACTAATTTTTATTTTCACAAAGTTAATCGCGGTACTTTCTCTGTCGTTTTGATATGAAATTTTAAATTTTTAATCGGTTAAAAACACTGAAACTTTAGTTTCTGTCGGTACTTTACAAAATTCAATTGTAACTAATGAGAATTAAATTTGATTAAATAATAAGATTCAGCCTCAGTGCTGCACGACGCGACGTAAATTCGAGTCATCTTTTTTTTTAATTCTCACTATCAACTTATAATCACTGTTGATACGCCTCTGGAAGGGTGGTATCTACATACTTGTCTTGCCAGATGTGCTAATTGCAGGCACTTCATGGTTTAGTCCCAATACACTAAATCAATTTATATTGATTATTCAAATTTCACCAACTCAGGACTTGAAACTAATTTTTATGTTCACAAAGTTAATCGCGGTACTTTCTCTGTCGTTTTGATATGAAATTTTAAATTTTTAATCGGTTAAAAACACTGAAACTTTAGTTTCTGTCGGGACTCGATGCATGTGTGTACTTATTCACAAAATTCACCAGTTATTCTTGATTTGAACTCAGTTTTTTTGAATTAAAATCAATGAGATCAAGTAACTTAAGTTACTAGTTGATCTACATAGGTGAATCTCGCGAAATCTGCTCCATTCTTTCAAATGATTGATGTATTACAAGGGCTTTGTTGTAACTATTTCAAATCCTTTAGCGGGAACTATGTAATATAAGCACACTTTTACATATTTCCAATGATTTAATTCCTTCCCACTCACCTCCAAAAGCTCCTCCAGCTGCATTCTTGAACCCGTCCAATAAAGCAGCTCATCCACGTAACCGACTATCAAAATGGCCGCTATGATTCCAGATATGACTAAACCAATCACTAATAATGAAAATATTATTGACCACCAATTGTGTCCTTCGTCTTCTTGCAGTGCTAGCTCCTACGGAAAAAAGTTGTTCTTTGTTAGATTTACAAGAAAAATAGGTGATTCACTGTATTATTATGTCAGTTGTTGGGATCTTCATCTGTCAGACTTATTTTGGTTCGATATTTCCAATGATGTGTTACCAGGTATGCAAAATTATGTTCATGAAGATCAAATTCATTGAATGATAAATGATGCTTCCAAGCGATCATTAAAATATGTAAATGCTGTATTATTTTCATTGATCTTCCTCTTGAAGATGATCACTTGGTGATCATCTTCAAATCATCTTCACCAAAGATCCCAAACTGTACATCACAAGTATAATATTATCACATTCAACAATGAAGATATTCAATATTCTAATAACTCAAGGGAAGAGGAACCAGTAAATTGGGAATATCAGAGTTTGTTTGGACTCATCAATATAACATAAACTGGTCCCAAGCTGAGATCATCCACAGGAAGGAACACTGGTGTGAAAGGAAGTTCAAAGAAGCTGCATATTTGTTGTCCAACGAGCTAACCTAAAATGACGCATCCAGCTATTGAACATTACTTATTGAAATTCAGCTAGGATGTTGAAAAATGTCTCATTCTAAAAAAGACTATCAGTTTTTATTAGGAAAACCCTCTCTGTTAGTTAATTCAGAAGTCTACAAATAATCTGGAATGGAAAGTATTCTGCTAAAGCTTCATCGAATGTGACGACTAAAGAGTCTATTGACTGCATGAAGTACTTCCTATATCAATGATGAAATGGACGATATGATGAAGAAATCAATGATGCAAAGGTGCTCTAGACTTCAAGAAATATAACAGAATACTAATACAATTGCTTTGCTAAATTGACGAAGTGATTGATCAAGGAAGTATAAATCAATCGGCAGGTCCTGCCGTAAATAATATATTCGAATTGGTTTTTCCATGAGAGTTTACCTGACAGGCCTTTTCTTTGGTAGTTTTGATTGTTGAGGATTTACTGATATTTTCTTTGACACAGTGACAACATCGAAATAAAAAAATATTGATCTGATCTGTTCCTCATACGATTGATTCTGCAATGGATACTTTTTTCATTAGATTCCTGAACAGCACTTCGATGTTGAGTTTGGATTCGATTCAAAAACATAATTCCCAAATTTTTCAAAATTTATCCAACCACACTGATACCAAAACATGTCTGACAAGATTTGACCACTTTCGTATATGTGTCAAAGAATGTGGATCTAAATAAAGTGCATCATGCATATCGAAAAGTCCAAATTCTATAAACTTTGTTCAAGTCAAGGGAACTGATGAGATTGAAGGGCAATGAAAATAGCTAAAGGTCATGCACGTTTTAGAACAGGATTCAAAGGAGATCGCCCTTTTTTCTAGGTGTTTACCAGATGTAACAATTTTTTACTGAATATCATTCATATACGAATACATCACAAATCTATTGCCTGTCAAAATATGTTTATAGCTATTCCCATTTTGCAACAAATTGATTAACGTTTTGCCATGTTTCACTGACTTGTTTAATTATTTGATTCACCCAGTATAGAAAAATGAGGTATTTGTCAAATCATCATTCGACAATGAATAAATTACTTTATTGTAACATCTCTATAAAAAACAAGTTCTTCAACTGAGTTTTTTGTGAGAATGAGGACGATTGAACAGAAGAACATCTTCATGTCATTTTGGCAAAGCTGCTGAACCGTTCAGTATATACGTATATACTCCTAAATCAGAACTTTTCTGACAACATGGAAAATAATAAATATCATTTTATTTAAAAAACCTAACTCTGGTACGCCACGTTTATGCTGTGTACCCTGTATATTGGTTATCATTCAAAAAACTCAATACATTTATAACTGAAATCTTCATACGAAACATTTTTTGATAACTTCATTCCTTCATCTCAAAACAATAAAATCTCGCTACGGCACACATCGTATATTTCGATTGGTGAATAAGAATAAAAAATTTAAAGATTCCAAGCCAAGTTACTTCACAACGTTTCGATTGTTAGTATCCACAATCNTCATCTCAAAACAATAAAATCTCGCTACGGCACACATCGTATATTTCGATTGGTGAATAAGAATAAAAAATTTAAAGATTCCAAGCCAAGTTACTTCACAACGTTTCGATTGTTAGTATCCACAATCATCATCGGGTGATGACTGGACTTATTCTATAGGTCATTCGAGAGCTTTCACCTATCCCGTCTTCTCTTTATCTCCGCTACATCGGTTTTAGCAGGAGCTGACTGTTTGGCGGGTATTGGTCGTGTTCCGCTGGATTATAGGTTTCCATATGTTGCGTATCTCTACACTAGCTTGGCTAAATGCGTTGTTAGACAACATATATGCGGCTTCTTTGAACTTTCTCCTGAGCCAGTGTTCCTCTTTGTGGATGATTTCAGCTTGAGACCACTTGATGTTATGTTGATGAGTCGTAAAACATGCTCTGCTATTTTCGATTTGCTGGTTTCTCCTCGCTGTGTGTATTTCTTGTGATCGGCAATGCGAACATTCAATGGCCTCTTAGTTTCAGCGATGTATGATTCTCCGCACTCGCAGGGTATCCACTGAAGGCAATTCTTGGAAAGGCAGTCCGCGTTTAGTGGCCTGGTTTTCGTGAGGCTCCTACGGATAGTTTTTCCAGATTTGAAGCAGGTTCTGATGTTATACACGGACCCAACGGTCAGCTCCCGCTGAAACCGATGGTTCCTGGTTTGGATACGCAACATATGGAAACCTATAATCAAGCGGAATACGACCAACTTCCGCTAAACGGTCAGCTCCCGCTGAAATGGATGAAGCGGAGATAGGCCAAGCGGAGACTTGGCCAATGGAAGGTCTAACTTATGAAATGCACAACGAAACATTGTCAACCACCTTCAAACAAATAGTTGACACCACTGAGGCATATGCCTCTTATTATATAGGTCCTTAAGAGGCAGTTTCGTACCACTGATGCGACCTATGGCGGCTCAAAACAGTACTACCTGATGATGGATCTCGAATACTTCGTTGTTGGACTCGGGTTTTGCCATATTGCTGGATGAACAGATGGACGTTTCGTGTTTCAGAGTCAAACGAACATTGTTTTTTCAATTTAAGACAATCAAAATATATTTTGGCGTAAATACATTCAGGATGTATTCGCTTATGTATGAGTTTTCATAAAAATATGTATCATCTGGTAAATAGGTGTATGAAGAACGATCTCTCTTCGAATCTCAGACTATCGGGTTATGCGGCAGTCCGCCCTAAGATACGTCTATGAAAACATTCGTCAAAAACATACATGATGTGTTAAGCGTCCACTTCCGTGAAAACTCATGTCTCTGCTGTCAATGCATAGCACTTTCTGAATTTTGAAGGAGAATGAATGACGTGAGCTAGAAGCGGAATATTTCTTTGTTATTGTGGGTTCTTATTGGATTTCAGGTGGGAATTCAAAATAATTACAGACGAGTGGGATAGGCAGGACTCATCATGTCATATCTTTGTGTGTATTTTTCTGTTTTGTGAATTTTGTTTGAGTGTTTGATGTAACCTATTACTTATTGGTCGCATGCCTTGTATATGATTGTTATGTTTCGTCTATGTAAATTTTGGAAAATTGAAAAGACTGAGAAAAGCCTTGGAAATCTAGTTAGGGTGTTGAGGAGAACGCTTCGAAGACTGCGCGAGGCTTGTATTGCTTTTCAAACTGAGGAATGATCAAGTTAGTTCAGACTAAGAAATAGCAATGTTATGAAGCAAAATGAACCGATGTAATAATTGAAATAACTGAAGTACGAATTTTTTACGTTGTACTTCCGAATAATGGAATGAATGTGAAGCAATTTCGCGAAGCAGTGATCTTATCCTATCATGGGAACAGATTTATAAGACTACCCCAACGACATACAACAAGGAAATCAGAAAGGCAAAACGGGAGTGTTGGAGGAAGTTCTGTGAGAATATTTCTAATTAACCTCGTAGCACAAGAATTCACAAGATTCTATCTAGAGAGCCGACTGCTGAAATTGGGTCGCTTAAACGACTCGATGGACCTATAGTGAAGAATCGTTAGAGCTTTTGACGGAAAACCACTTTCCTGGAAATCTGACTCTTGATTTCAACAGAACTTTCCCCTTCGAGAGCGTTAAATGCCAAAAAAAAAACGATTGGGAGGTTGTCAAGAACGTTATCACAGCACCGGCAGTTGAATGGGCTATCAAGTCGTTTCAGCCCTTCAAATCTTCCGGAGAGGATGGTATATTTCTAGCTCTTCTTCAAACCGGCTGGAAATAATTTTACCTATTTTCACAAAATTGTATAGAGCTAGTTTGGCGTGGAACTATATACCACCCAGTTAGTTGGCAGCAAGGGTGGTATATGTACCTAAAGTGGGCCGGAGAGACCCACACCCTGAATCGGTACGACCAATCAGCCTTACATCCTTTCTGCTGAAAGGACTTGAAAGGATACTGGAAGGACATATCAGTTGGGTAGCATTATATGCATCCCCACTGAATAACCACCAGTATGCTTATCAAAACGGCAAATTGACATATAGGGTGTTAATTAGGTATGTACCATAAATTCAACAGACGATTCTTCTCTTTGTTCTCAGCATACAGGGTGTTGAAATAAAGATGAAAAAAAGGTATTCGTAAATATTTTAAACATCCTTTACCTAATTTTGTTGTAATTCGGCAATGGTATTTATAACATTAAGGAGCTAATCAAGCCCGAACGTGATTCCATTGCCAAATTACAACAAAATTAGGTAAAGGACATTTACGATATTTACGAATAATTTTTTTTTATTTTTATTATAACACCCTGTATCTTGAGAACGAAGGATTTGCGGACCCATGTTTATATGAACATTTCGTCTTAAAATCACCCAAAGAATCGTCTGTTGAATTTATGGTACATACTTAATTAACACCCTGTATTTAGCATCAAACGAAGGAGGGTCGAATAAACCCACTTGCTTTGCTTGCTAACCTAACCTAACCT